GGAAGTAGCCTAAATAGTTTGCATATTTTGAGTAGTTAGCCTGAGTAATTTACGTAGCGAGCGTTTATATTGCCTCCACTTCAGAAAGTGGCAATTACTAGAACTCGGTTCGGCTCGGCTCGACCTGCATCACGCACGAATCGCGAAACTATTCTCGGTGATGGGAGTAACATTACCTCACGATGGACGTCATGGACGTTCGATGTGGAATGTGGGAAGGAGAGGCGGTGACTGCGGGTTCCTTCAGCAAGAATTCGAGGAGGGGGAAGAGGGGTTAGAGGGGAGCAGGTTAGCCAACTGCATGTAATGAAGGTCAGCTAGCTGATGACCCTTAATATCCGTTTCACTCCCTGAACGGATTTTCCCCAGAGAAAAACGTGGTAAGGTTTTGGCAGTTTCGAGATGTCACTAGTGCGCGTACTGACCACTATCATCTCGTTTTGAACGTTGCTTCTCCTACATCTCGGGCAATTGCAGCCATCTTGTAGAACATATATCACCTAGGCAGTTTTAGACCAAAAAAGACGAGGTACGACATACCTGTAACAAATTATATCCATCATCGGCACCCGAAAAAGGTGCGCTTTGTGCAGAAGGCGGTGGGGCCAGGTTGTTGCTAACTGGTACCTGTTGATGTGGTGGTACCAGACGTTGCGGATCGACCAGTGGAGCAACAGACTGATCAAGAGCGAACGATGTGGAGGAAGAGGATGGCTTCGAGTAGCGTAAAGTAGAAGTAATGTCCGAGAACGAATCATGCCAGATATCCGAGAATTGAAAGGGTGCTGTTGATGTGAACGGTTGGGCTGTAACGGTCTGCGAATCGGATTCCGAATGCGAACTCTCGGCATGGTCACTGGTATTGCCATCCTAAAATAATCGTGATTTTTTTGCTAAAGAATTAACTGAAAACCGATTAAATGTAATTGGATATCAAACTGGGTACTATAAAAATAAAACTGAATATTACGCAAAATATAACAAGAAAGCGATAAGGGATTAAAGAGATTAACAACAACATTTAATTCCCTACCTCACCACTCCTTTTTCCCCCTCTTTTGACTTTTCTTTTCTCTTCTAGTTCTCTTTAAAATTTTCCTTTCAAAGATTTAATATATTAAGTTAATAATTTACATCAGCATTAATTATCATGGCCGTCGTAATATATCAAATTCCAGTAATTTATATCATCATTAGTTACGACAGCCTGACCAGGCCCAGGTGTGGTGCTGATTGAGATGTATGCGACTTAATGGACCGAAACATTCCATTTCAGTGTTTTGTTCTCAACTTTTATCAATTTACATACTTCTTTCATTTTTTACTTTTAATTTAGATTTGCCTTATTTTGCTTAAGCATAAGCTTATTGCCTCTTATAAATCTGATTTTTTTATCTGTTCGTTATTATTTGTACGTTTTCTATTTCAATAGCTTGTAACTTTAACATGTTTGATGTATTGGTTATAATAAAATAAACCACATCCTTATGTGTAGTTGAAACATGCTTAGAAGGCAGTCTGTGTGTTTCATCCCTTAGCTGTAAAAACCACTCTGTGCTCAGCCTGTGGGAAGAAGCGGAAATCATCAGTGCAGCCTTCTATTCGCCACGCTTACGATGAGCGTATATCCAATTCTTCAAGACCGCATTTCCTCGTCTTTTATTGTATCTCACTGGAAATTCCATAAGACTCAGCAGACTTCGAATACAAGATGGAATTGTATGTTTTTTATGCATTCCGAAATTTTTGTGTCGCTATGATGGGTTTGCAAGAACATCCCAGAACATCACTAACATGGACTAATCACAGTGATTGCTCGAGAGGTCTTGGTATTTTTGATATACGCGCGTAATCGACAATTTTTTTTTTTAAAAATCAGATTTCACTAGTTCTAAACATTTTGTATGATAAGTGATAGATGCAAGTGG